TTTATTTTATCTTCAATATCATCACTTGATAAGACACCGAGGGTGTTGAAACAAAATGGCTATTTTTGTAGTGATTTTATAACATATTTATGTTATAATTTTTTTTATAAATAATATATATATATATATATATATATATATATATATATATTCAATATGTTTTTTAGCTCCTTGATAAATTCCAAAGAAAAATCAGTAATATTAGTTGTCCTGATCTGGCGGCTCGATTTCATTCGCTTTCTTATCACTATAAGGTTCCTTCTCTGTCTTTTTTGCGTCGTCAGCGAACAGTCGTTGCCACTTTTGTAATGTCAACGAATACTCTTTGTCACTTCCGTAATGCACGTTGTAGTAGAGACTTTGAAATCGCAGTTACAACTATAGCAACGCCGTTGAACAATACTGCTGTCAGACGCCTTCGAATAAAACTTGCACTAATAGTACTTGCTCGATAATACTCGCTCCAAAAGTAACCATTGAATAGGGATCCTAATAGTAATCCGTACAGTGATATATTCTCCTACAGCTCCACGCGGTCGGATGCGGCACAGGGCCAAGTTTATTGTATGGTACCGAGTCCGTAGGCTCGTTCAAAAATTCCATGTAGACCCCGTAAAAACGGGGTCGTGTAGCTGCCTACCACCCCAGACGAGACTCCACCCTTCGGCACAGTCTCGTCTGCGTTCCTCTCTGCACGGAATACCAGCAATATATATTTTTGAACCATAAGTGATAATTCAGCAGCGTAGTGAATTTATGTGTATATTCCTTGGCAGAGCGAGTTTATGGTTCTATATTCTGTAGTGTAGTGGGGTTACGGCTTTATATTCCATAACGTTTTGAGATTATGGCTCTATAACTCTGGCTCAGAATGGTATAACAACGGGTAATACCAGCACACTTCTGAAGTAATTCGGACAGGGATCACTTGGACGTCACGCTACATTTCCTTTACTATCACGTGATCTACTTATTCAAAATGGGGTCACCTGTATTTGTTTGCTCCCTGGTCATCTGTGTCAAACTCCAGTGTATTTATTGCTATATAATCACTTTCATGGAAATTGTTCGGGTGAGCTCTTTGATATGGTACGGAGACTTTTTGAATTTAAGCGAAGTACTGGACTGGCATCAAAATCTCATCAATTTACAATTGAGCTGCCAAGATGTAACCGTAAGTTCTATGTTAACAGTTTCTCTTCTCGCACTTCTCGCTTGTGTAACTCACTTCCCGCTCCATACTTTCCAGCCAAATTTAATCTGCACAAACTTAAATGCAATGTCAGTCGCTATCTACTGTCCTCATGATAACTCTTTTCTCTTCCTGCTTATTATTAATGTTTCCGTTCTTAATTTTCCCACACCCTGTATCCCTTCTGTCTTAGTGGCTTTATTACCTTGCATATGGTGGTAACAATTAAAAATTAAAGAAGGTTATAATTTTAAAAAAAAATCAGTCTGAAAGTTAGAAATTATATTTTCATCCTTAAATTTGGATAAAAAATTTCGAAGAATAATTATTTTTCGCTTTTTAAATTTATTTCTCGGGAAATAGGACTATGTAGTCTGCAAAATTGTCGACTTGTATGTCTACGAAGTTAATGCATTTTTAGACATCAGTCTTGAGTTACAAAGGCGGTGTTGATGGAAACACAGAGGCGGATTTTAAATACGCTCCTTGTTTTGACTCAAGGTAAACAGAATGCCGCATATCCAGTTTCGTGATAATCATAGGATAATCACATCAGATGATACAAGCATATCATAAATTTGGATGCACTCGTAACGTAGCGGTTATCGGAGTAATGAGTGGAATAAACAAGCTCAAATTACGGATGGAACTGTTTCCTTCCTTTTTTTCTAAATACACACACACACACACACACACACACACACACACACACACAGATATATATATATATATATAAATTACATGTAGATAAAATTCAGTATGGACTGACCTTGACCTATATTTAACATGTTAACAAATGTTCAAAAAGAGAATTTATATAATGAAACACAATCTTTAAAAATTAAGAAAAGATTTTTTTAGATACAATTAAGGAAATTTTAATAATTAATATATATTTTAAAATTTTAATATAGAAATTTTAGAATAAACGCTATTAAAAGTTTTAATTAAAAAAAGATTTTTAGTATGTAGAACACAAGATATTAATATTAATTAAATAATAGATGACATTTTTCAAAGGAATAAATAAATAAAACAGAATATTCGTTTTAAATTAGATTAACTTTTTTAAAAATAAAATTATACAAAATATAAGTAAAAAAATAAATAAGAAACTAAATAGATAAATAAGACTAAATTAGTACAATGTGAATTAAGTAAATATAAGATAATTAAAAATATAGATTTAATTACGTATTAATCTAGATTATGGATAAAAATTTAGATTAAAATTTAAAGAGAGTCTTAAAATTTAACATTTAAAGAGATCTTTAAGGAGAATTATATAAAAACAAATAATTAAATGAATAACAAGAAACTAAAGAAGTACAATTAAGAATCCAATACGGATTCATTTTGGAGCTAATGACTCCCCAACCTGAGTAGTGAGGTTATAGCTCTATATTCCGTAGCATAGTGAGGTTATGGTTCTGTATTCCCATAGTTTAGTGGCTCTGCATTCAATAGTTTAGTGAGGGTCAGTCAGTTATGTGCCATAAGTGATACATGCTTAGGCGATCATATATCTTTCGATACATAACTGACGAGGCAGATTTTTTCCCGCAGTTGGTTGTCATTTTTTCTGTGGTAGACCAATTGCTATCCAACGCTACAGAACCCGGTCCATACTGCTATTTACCCATAGCTGGGGAGAGAAGAAGAGGATTCATATTTTTCCCAAGGATATTAGCACGTAAGTGATAATTCCGCAGCGTAGTGAATTTATGTCTATATTCCTTGGCAGAGCGAGTTTTTGGTTCTATATCCTGTAGTGTAGTGGGGTTATGGCTTTATATTCCATGGCGTTTTGAGGTTATGGCTCTATAACCCTGGCTCAGAATGGTATAACAACGGGTAATGCCAATGCTGAAAAAACTATACCTATATTTCATAGGCATTTGATAAGATACGTTACAAACAATGAAAAGAGTGATGTACTGCTATTCCGATATCTATCCTCTAATATAACAGTGAAGATATGATTTTACCCAACATGCGAACAAGTTTTAAGAAAAATATTGTTTGATTGATTAGTTTTCTACGGTTTAACAGACCTTTGCAGGTTATTTAAAGCCAGAAAATATTTTTAGATTGTAAGGATTATGCTTTAGATAATAATTACATAGGCATACAGATCATACTAATTAACCTATAGCTGGGGGAGAAGAAGGGTATTTGCGCGTAAGTGTGAGAAACAGACTCAACTGAAATTGGAAGTCGGCTCCCGGATTAGCAATTCCGAGCGATTATCCATTAAACCACCCGCATATCTAAACTTACAGCACCTGGTATTCCCAAGCGGTCACTCATTGAACAGGGTCGATGTAAGAAAAATGAAAATCCAATACTACCTGTCAGAAGCGTCATATAAACGTTCTGGAATACATAATGTTTTTAAAATAGAAGTGATACTGGTATAAAGAAAGCAATTTGCCGTTTAATACTAATGAAAAATGAACAATTACGTCAAAGGCTCATTACCCCACTTCACGGTACACCTTTTCGGAAATTACTCACGTATTATTACATCGTCTTTTCAGCCACCGGATCTCGAGATATTTGAAATTAACTGGATACTTTTCGGACAGACATCGTATATATCGTATTCAGGAAGTTCCAGAGAGAAATATTGTTAAATTTCACCGCAGATACGTTTTTTTTTAACAACAGGTTAAATGCAAGGTGAACCGCACCAACTTGTGGTTAATCTCCCTTTTTCATTCATTTTCGATCGACCGAAATACGAAATAAGCTAATGTCAGCAAACTTCAATTATCTTATCTATTAGAAAATTAAAATAGATCCTTTACTGAAATTTACTTGACTAGAATTTCTTTGCAACATGCTGACGCGTTTTGAAATCCTCACAGTATTTTGTATCGTTAGAGTTTATCTTGTGAGTATTAAAATCAACAAATCCTTTTGAATTTTTATAGGTGTGAGTTTTTCCACAGTTACTTTCTCAAAGATAATATTAGTTATCTTGTAGCTCCTATTTTTCTTACGACTTCCTCGTTACGCAGATGTTCCATCCGTTCAGAGTTAGGACCAGATCTCTGCCGTTTCGTGTTACTTTCTCACCTGGGAGAAAATTATCGAAATCCCTCTTGGCAATATTTCCTTTATTTTTTGTTTTGCAATTTTCATCAGAATGTTCCTTCTGGGAAAATGCATTTTGAAAATAATAATCTGCAAAAAAACCCAAAAAAAACAAAAACAAAAAAAAAAACAAACCAAAAACAATGGACGAAATTAAGAATAATGCACATTGGATACAAAAAAATTGTGATTACAAATAAAAAAGCTATTAATACTTCAGTCTGTAAATAACATTTGCTGGATTCGGTGCAAGTCCATTTACAGGTTCTCCACAAACAAAGTACAGAAATAGAAAGGCTTGTGTTGGTTACGGAATCATGGCGATCGACCGGTGTGCCATCTGGTGTTAGACTCAGGTAAATAACGATTAAGCTCTCACCACACGCTCGTTTCACCGCCATTTCGTGATGGATATCGTTGCTTTATTTCTGTCGCGATCTATAAAATCTTTTCGACGTTTTTTTTCTTGTTATGATGCAGTTTCATCGCTTGAACTTTTCATCTGCGCTACTCGTTAAAATGACAGATTGTACAGAATGACATGGTTTTTTTTTCTTATTCTTTTTGACACGTTCTTTTTTAGAGTATTTCTTTTAAAAAAAAAGAAAGAGGATGAAGTATAAATTAGAGGCAACAAATTTGTGAAAAATAAAGGAATTTAGACATCAGTGATATTCCCACCAGAGGGATTGTACAAAACAGAAACAACCTAAAAGAAAAGAAAAATGTCAGGCCATATACCGAGAGTTGCTAGATAGATTAAATAGATAGATAGATAGATAGATAGATATGTGAATAGACTAGGGTACCTACATACAGTGGGCTATGATAAGTTTTTAGCCACCATGGATTACAGCAATTTTGGCTTGTTTAATAACGTCTCTTCTTTTTTATCAGACAATACCGTGATAGTATCAAGCTATTCTCATCTATGAACAATAGTTGACATATCTTGCAATAAAAGTTCGTGGAAGTAAGGAAGTTAGTGAACAAGGACAAATAATAGGATGGCATCAGTGTGTTAAATCAAGTAGAGAAATTGCTAGGTTTTTTCCAGGTTAATCATCAAATGGTTAACAATATTGTCAAGCAATTTAATGAAGAAGACCATTGTCCTGTGGGGCAACTTTCAGAAAGACCAAGCGTGGTGTCTGAGCAAACGAAAAGGGCGCTGAAGAGGGAAGTCATCAGAAACCGTCGCCAGAGCGTCAAAGATGTCGCCAATAGCATGCAGTGAGAAAGACTCTGAAAGAGCTAGGCTATCAGAGAAAAGTTGCAAAAAAGAAGCCCTTGAATTCAGAGGTGAACAGGAACCTTCGTATAGACTAGGAGAAAGAATTCGACAGCAAAGATTATGAATTTTGGCAGTCTGTAATTTGGTCAGATGAAAGTAAATTCTGCCAATATTCGAATTCGAGATAGGTTTCTGTTTGGAGAAATCAGAATGAGACTTGGAACACTGAAAGTCTGCAGGCGAACGTGAAATATGGAGCAATTGGAGTATACTGATTCTTGTTGACGAGCAGTTGAATGGTCCAAAATACCGTCAAATATTAGAGAAAGGGTTACTCTTATTTTTTGAAACCAATCAGATTGACAACAGTATCTACCTTTTTCAAGAAACTTTTACATGTCATACGGGCAAAGTAGCAAAGGCCTGGAAGGAATCGCAAGGAATCAAGTCACTGTCATGGGTAACCCAAAGTCTTGACATGAATCCAATAAAGCACGTTTGCGAGCACCTTGACTGAGAAATTCGAGAGCGTGCAACCCTTAAAATCATTGCTAAAGGAGTGGCAAAATATGGCTCAGACGATTGTTGATAACTTGATCAAATCCATGAAAAATCGAATAAAAGCACTGAAACTAACAACTGCAGGGAATTTTGAAATTGAATGTAGTTTATTTCTCCTGGCTAAAAACTTTTCTTAGTCCACTGTATATATATATATATATATATATATATATATATATATATATATATATGAATATGATGTGATGCATTAAGTCCGACAATTATTTAAAAATTTTCTCTTTATACGTTATTTTTATAGATACAAATTATTTAAGTATATGCTCTGTTTTTAATTAAACAGTATTAAAAACGTATACTCGCTTGAATGTTCGAGAAATTTCGTAGAAAATATATAGGAATACAGATTCGATTCTAGTCGGGAAAGCATATTGTTTTTTTTCCAAATTACTCGAACATTCAGGCCGGTAAATGGATTTAATACGATTTAATTAAAAACAGAGCATTTACTTAAATAAATTATATCTATAAAATTACATATAAATAGAAAATATATTTAAAACGGCTGGGGTATAGAGACACGCGGATAAAACACGCACGCATCCATACACACACATATATATATACACACATACACTCACATATATATATATATATATATATATATATATATATATATATATATATATATATATATATATATATATATATGTTAGGCTGCTGAAAAATTACTTTTTACTGAATGAGCAAACATCATCATGAGGATACTGATTTTATGAAAAGGGTTAAGCCGAGTTCTTTTCCTCATCCTTTGTTATAATGCTTGTATAAGCTCGTAGTTTCGATTAATAATATTGTAAGGTATAACACTCGAATAAAAGATTATTGAAGAAAGTGTCACATGGATTAATAATACGAATACAGTAGTTAGTGCGGCAATCTGCACGACCCACTTTGCGACCCACTTTGGTATTCTGTTTCTATGAGCGGACGTCCCTGTCATCATGAGTGGGTGAGTCGATGTTCAACAATTTAGAGTAGAGCGGTAGCAAAAAACAAACAAACACTGAACACTACATGTGTTTGTTTTAAGCGTTTTTATCTATAGTGGAATAATATAATTCGATTCCAGTCGGGAAAGCATATTGTTACGTATTGCATTAATATTTAAGCTTACCTTTTAAAAGTTCAACACTACATGTGTTTGTTTCCTCGCTACGCAGATGTTCCATCCGTTCAGAGTTAGGACCAGATCTCTACCGTTTCGTGTTACTTCCTCACCTGGGAGAAAATTATGTATATAGAATATATAGAACTCGAATCTGTATTCCTATATATTTTCATTAATGCGATTATTTTCAGCGATTTTTATGTGATTTTTTGGCGACGAATTTTTTGTGCGATAACAATTTTTTTAACTTGGAAATAAATTTTAATAATATTCTCTCTCTCTCTCTCTCTCTCTATATATATATATATATATATATATATATATATATATATATATATATATATATATATATATATATAATATATATATATAGAATATATATATAGAATATATATATATATAGAATATATATATAGAATATATATATAGAATATATATAGAGATTATATATAGAGAATATATATATATATAGAATATTTATATATAGAATATATATATAGAATATATATAGAGATTTATATAGAGAATATATATATATATAGAATATTTATATATAATATATATATATATATATAGAAATTATATATATAGAATATATATATATATATAGAATATATATATATATATATATATATATATATATATATATATATATATATATATATATATATATATATATAATGTCAGTGGTACCGTCTCACACTTTTACAATTAATAGGACAATACTGTAACTTTCTACGGCTCAGAAATTTTGAATTCCCAAGTTTTCATTTATGCGATTATTTTCAGCGATTTTTTATATGATTTTTGGCGACGAATTTTTTATGCGATAACAATTTTTGTAACTTTGAAATAAATTTTAGAATAATCGAAATTTATGGCGAAATAAAGCGAAAGTCAACCATGAAATAAAAAAAATAACTGTTTGTACGGATAGTAAGAACCTACGTACATCAAATTGTCTTTGAATTAAGAGGCGGCAGAAGAATTATCGTTGAACTTTTAAAAGGTAAGATTAAATATTAATGCAATACTTAAATGCAACGATCAATTTTGAGTTCTTCTGTAGTTTATTGTTGCTTATCGCATACGACAGCAGTCTGCCTCGCAAAAAAAAATCTCCGCCAACTGAGGGCCAGATTGCAATCAAAAGAGCCAAGGCTGCAGAGAGGAAAAGAAAGTCCCATGCAAATGAGAACTCAGATCAAACGGCAGCCAGGAGAGCTTCCAATACTAGGAATATACAAGACTTAGGGACTCTCAAAGTTCTGAACAAGCCGAAGGCTCAATTAAGGGCCCTCCGCAGGAGCTTAAATGCCGCCCGATACGAAAGTATGGAAAGCATGAAAAAGAAAATGAGATAAATGAAAAAGAGAGAATAAAAGAAGAAATAAAAGGGAAAAAGAGAGAATAAAAGAAGAAATAAAGAAAAAATACAGAATAAAGGATAAAATAAAGAAAAAAGAGAGAATAAAAGAAGAAATAATGAAAAATATAAAAGAAAAAGAATAGAAAAAATTAATGAAAAAGAAAGACTGAATAAAGAATGATAAAAAACGAGAATAAAATAACTAAATAAAAATATTAAAAAAAAGAATATTAAAATTAAATGACGAAAAGAATTAGAAAGAAAGAAAAAGAATGAAAAGAAAGAAAGAATATTTTAAGAAGTAAAGAAATAATAAAGATATTAATTTTTTATTCATTATGATGAACACTTACCTGTGATTCAATATTCTGTATTCGTCTCTTAAAAGAAGTGACTTCATCAACGCTTGGTAATTTATTTATTTTTTGTTACCAGTCTATGATCTGTCTTGCTAATCACAGAGAACAACGGCGTGCTAAAATCAATCACCAAACGAGCGACGACAATCATGTAATCTGAGCGATGTAAGAAGATGGAAACCGGTAAAGAAACAGATGATCCCGAAGATATTTTAATATTTTAAATTATATTATTCCACTATAGATAAAACGCTTAAAACAGACACTTGTATTGTTCGCTGTTTTTTTTGTTTTTTGTTTTTTTCGTTCTGTTCATTTTTTAATTACCTTTCTGTAAGAGGTGGCGAATTGGGTTGAAGTAGATTATACATGTAGCAAAGGCGTGCTTTTCTTGAAATTCTGCCTTTTAACGGACCTCCGACAACTGACATTCCATCTTCTTTTTGCTGCTTCTTCTTCTCCTCCACCTTCAGTTCATCATCATCATCAGCAGCAGCAGCAGCAGAAGAAGCAGCAGCAGCAGCAGTCACATGACCGTGTATTCAAGTAATTTCGCCACGTAGCTTGATCACCTTACTAGTTCCCTCAACAAATCTGTATTCATTCGCGCGTAGCATGTCTTGGGCAAGACGGAGCCCATCTCTCTACAGGTCAAACCATAACTGATATCCTTCAATGTGAAAGTCAGCCTTGCTCATGGACGAGTGACCATTGACCTCATCTTGATTTCAAATGTTTCGTGTTTTATGGCCGTTTTTTTTTTTGAAGTTGCATCTTCTAAATGAAAACCGACTTGACAAAAGAGGAACAAAGAATAAATAAATGAGTGCTGGCGTTTGCTTCATTGATGCAGGGCAACATGTAAAAGAAAGTATTTGAAGTCAAGCGACAACCAACCAGACATTATTGGTTACCGAGTGATGGTCTATATTAACAGTCATGCTTGGCATCGAGATGTCGGTCCTAGTCTGCCCTTAGCGGGGTGCAGACTGTCCGTCAGGTAGTTTCGATGCCACCTACTCGTACTGATGTGTAGATGGGATGAGAACTGATAGGACGGAATAGCTGAGTTGTTAAACTATCCTAAGTGGTGCCAACCTACCCCACCCCCAGACCGACAAAAAGATGCCTTGAATAAAACATTCTATTTTATGTTATTGGAAATATAGTTCGAGTTCTCATTTCTTGGTGTATCGTTTGCTGTCCTCTATCGTTTTCCTTGTGAACGTGCAACGAGCCTTTCCCAGTTTTTCGTTCACATCTACGTAAATGAATGGTAATGCAACGTAGGGTAGTCACTGGCCGATCGGCGGAAAACTGAGCGAGGGTTACGTTGTATGTTTACATCTCTTTCTTTCTCTATTTTTTTTTTGTTTAATTCTCTCTTTTTTTTATACATTCTTTTTTTCTTGACAGAATAAAACAAAACTAAAATAAATTATTTTATTCTCTTTTATCTTTGTTTTATTCTGTAATCTTTCCTTTCTCTTTTGTCTTTCTTTCATTCTTTTATTCCCGCTTTTTCTTCCTTTTAGCTGTCTTTATTGGCTCCGACCTAGTGTTTCGGCTTCAGCCACTTTTCCAACGCCGTAACGTTGCCTCTCTTCGCCTTTTCTATAAATACTTTCATTGTAATTGTTAGGATGAGCTCTTCGCTAAGATGCCTAGACTTTTCGAATTTAAGAGCAGTACTAGACTGGCAACGAAGTCTCACCAATTTACAATTACGATGCCTAGATGCAACCATTAATTCTATGCTAACAGTTTCTTTCCTCGCACTTCTCCTTTGTGGAACGCCCTTCTCATTCTTTATTCAATCTTCTTTCTTTTTCATTATTTTTCTCATTTATTCTCTCTTCATGTTGAGATCTACTTTTAGTCTCTCTTTTTGTCTTATTTCATTTTCTTTCTTTCGTTTCTCATTCCTTTTTTTCACCTTTCTCATATTCTATCTTTCCTTTTTTATTATCTCATACATTTTTCTTTTATTCTAACTTGTTTTTTTTTTGCACTTTCTTTTATTATAACTTTTTCTTTTTATTTCCTCTTTTATCTTTCTTCCTTTCTCTCTTTTTCTTTCTTCTATTTTTCTTTTAATTTTATTTTATTCCCTCTTCTTTCTTTCTTTTGTTTTGTCTTTTATCTTTCTTTTATTCTCTCTTCTTTCTTTCTTGCTCTCTTTTCCTTTGTCTGTCTATATCACATATTCTATTTTTAAGAAGTGTTTCTTTATAGTGTCAAGATTTATCTAACTCACTTTATGTCTCACTGCATATAATCCTTTAGGGTATGCACTCCACATAATTAAACTTTCTTTTTCTTGATACATTTCTTCACACCTGTCTATCTGTTTCTACTTTTTTTAGTCCACCATAACCAATTCTCACTTTCTCTCTAACTTCCTTTCTCTTATTTTAAAACTCCCTTCGTTAAATCCTATTTTTTTCTATTCTCCGAAAGTTATTTATTAGGAATATTTGAAGTAGAGAAGGGAGGCTGTGGTAAATTCTTAAAAGTGCGACCCAGAAGACTTTAGTAAGCGTGAATTATACTGATTAATAAGAGGAAACAAAAAGTGTGCATAAGAGAAAAAATAGCATCTCTTCTTATAATTCTTCTTGCCCATCCACTTTTGATTCTTAAAGCATAAAAACATTAAAAATTGCAGAGAACTAAAAAAAAAAGAACTAAAAAAAGCAAAAGAAAATAATGAGACGTGAAGATGAAAAAATGAAATTCGTATTTGGTATTTGGGCAAAAGGATATCGCCATAAAATGGCAAAATGTATCAAAATTACAGATGGATGCACATGGCTTATGTTATTGTGTAGAAAAGTGGATATAAAGAAAGCAAAATAAACGGGTTATTAATTTTTGTTTTCTATCAAGGAATCTAAGAAAATAGAAAGAAAAAGTCAATGACGATATGTAAAAGAATAACAATACAAAAAAGAAAGAAAAAAAAGTCCGAAAAGAACAACTAACAAAGGAGAGACGAAAACAAAATAATATTAAAAGAATCAAAAAAAATTTTCAAATGTCGAGAAAGAAAAAAAGCAAAAGAAATATTTATATTTGGAAAAACGAAAAACATAAAAAGAAAAAATGGGCGAAAAATGCAAAAAATGTTCAAAATATCTACAAAATTGTACAAAAAATATACAAAATTAGAAAATACAGATTTACAAAAAGTACTAAGTTACAAAAACATGGTACAAAAATTTGTCCCCCAAAATTGTACATAATTAGAAAGTACAAAACTACATAAACAAAACTGTACAAGAAATTGTTCATATTTTTTAATTTTAGTGTATTGACACAAATTTTTACAATGTAAAAATTTTTTTACAATGTACAATTTTTTTATAATGTGCCAAATTTTCTACTATGTAAAATTTTTTACAATGTACAAAATACTTTTATAATGTAAAATATGTTTTACAATGTATAAAATATTGTATAAAAAATACACAAAAGGTTGTACAAAAATCTACAAAATAGGAAAATATATAAAAAAATTGGCAGATAGAAGAAAATACAGGGAGCGAGTTTACATAAACAAAGGTGAAAAAGAAACATTTCCTAAAGAAAAAAAGAAAAAGAAGAAGACTGTACTTAAAAGTGAACGAAAGACTATTGATACTTGTGCCCACGAACAAAATAGAAGAAAAGGAATTTTCTCAAACTTGTGAAGCTGTTATCATGGGGAAGTAACTGCCGCCAGCAAAGGTGAAATGAGATGAAACAGGCTGAAGCGGTGCTGGCTGAAGACGCCGACGACCATTAAGAGCCTAAAATCGAATAGATCTAACTAGAGACGATCTGATAAAAGGCATCATCGGAAGTGGTAATGGACACCGTTATTGCCATCGACATGGATCAGTCGGTATGAGAGGAGGGAAAGACTTGAAGAAGTTAAGCGATGACGACAGAATGTTTCTTGCTAACAAAAGACGCAAGCCATTACAGGCGACTGACGAAAACTCTGATACTGCTGCGCATGCGCAAATTTATCTCGCCCCTTTATGATGTCACCTTTGAAGATTTATAGAATCCCTATTGAAGGGAACCGAAGACAAAAATGCAACGATAGATGGAGTAGCCTATTTCAATCATGATAAGAGAGGGATAAAATAGAAAGAAAAGAAGTGGTAAAAAACATTATTATAATTTATTTATTTTTTATCACAAGACGGAATTAAAGACATGAATGAATAACAGAAAGTAAAAATAAATCGTAATAAAAAAAATAAAGGAACAACGAAAAGAAAATTGAAATAAAAGAAAAATGAAATAATGCTTGATTTTTGAATTTTATATTAATTTTTTCAACGATTGATAGTTCTTAATATAACAAGAAGATACTTCAGTGAAACAACGCATAAAAAAATAGTACCTGTGGGAAATCAACAGCGTTAGTTTCTGTTCAATGTCAGCTTGATAACAATTACTCCGCGAGGTGTAAAGCTTCCCGGTACTCTCAGATATATTTGTGCCAAATAACTGGAAGTACTGTCACTATATATAAAGTCTTATTATACCATTATCTAGTTCAGTAGTCGCCAAAGTTTTTGGCACGAGTATCAAATCATATATATATATATATATATATATATATATGAGATAACAATATATATATTTATATATCAAGAACAGTATTGGGGATATTTAATGACAAAGTGTAAAAATTTATTTGAGATTCGTTTTGTCCTTCAGGATTTCACCGGACTAAATTTATGTTGGTAGAGGGGTGCTGGGAATTTTAGATTTTTTTTTCAGCCAAATTCATTACAGTTTTTTTTTCCAT